GAAATGGACTGCCATTGACTATTTTGAATTAGATAAACAGATGGTCTGTCCGTTAGGAATAACAAATTAAACAGGAATGACAACATATTCATCGTTAAAAAGAACTTTCAAGATCTACCCTGAAGTGCAATACTGTCAGTGATAGGATAATATCCATATGCCTAAAAGGGAGAGATGTTAGTACAACTATTATTCAAATTTATGCACAAGCCACCAATGCCAAAGATGAGGAAACAGCAGCTTTTTACCCACTTGCGCAGTCTGAAATTGATCAAATGTGCAGTCGCGATGCAGTGTTATTAGTGATTGTAATACGAAAGTCAGAAATAGCTAGGAAGTTTAAAGAAAAGGATAACTTTGGTGATAGAAATAGGGGTGATGGTATGATAGAATTCAGTAAGGCCAAGAATTTATTCATTGCAAAGACCTTTTTGAAACAACAATATACATGATAACTACACATGTGGGCTTGATCAAATGACTATATAGGAAACATTTGTGGAACAATATAATGGGGGGGGAAATCTCAGTATCATAAATCAGAACAAGGTTAGGGTTCAACTGCACAAAGTCAATTGCTTATATGCAAGTTCAAGTTGAAGCTGAAGAAAAGAAAATAGGAGCCAAAGTATGGCCTGGAGTATATCCTACTTCAACTTAAAGACCTCAAAATTGATTTCATGCACTAAACACTAATGATCATGTACTGAGTTATGAGATGACATCAAGAACATCAACAGTGAAAACAGCAAAATGGGCATTAAAAGGCTAAGAAAGAAGGAAAAGACCAAAATGGATGAAATTGGATCTGACTATTGAATAGAGAATAGCTTAAAGTGAGACCAAGAAATGATTAAGTAAAGAGATGAAAGTAGTATCTCAGAGGGCAGCTTGAGAAGACAAAGCAAATGTAAGAAATGAACAAAGGCCTGGAGTTACAAGACCAAATGGGCAATACATCATCACCATCTCTTAAGCAGAAAGGACTTAGAACTCATAACTCAAATTTCAATACTGAAGGGTTCTATGTGCAAAGTATTATTAGGAGGGACCAATCCTTTGAGAAGTGTCTTATGCTTGATGAAGAATAGTATCAATGAAAAAGAGGAAAAGCCACCAAGAAATGGACTGATAGCAGCAGCTCCAACAATCGGCTCAAACACAGGCAGAACTGATGGCTCATGACGGGCCAGGATGTTCTCCTCTTGTACATGCGGTCATCACTCAATGGCACTTAACAACAAATAACAATAAAAAGTCTTAAACATATGTATTTTACTTTCAAAGCATAGAAAGCACTTCCACATTCATGATCTTATGTGATCCCTGGACAGCCTGAGGAAGGAGCTGTTTATCCATAGGAGAGGCTGGAGTCTAGATGGTCTCATACTCTTTAAGGTCACCTCCTTCAAAAAAACATTTAATTATTCAGGCCCCCGTTCCTTCTATTCTCTCTTCTGTTTTCCTTTTCTTTATTGTTTTTCCTTCCAAGAATCTGAGGTTCTGGTTCCTCTTCCCTTGAACACTAGAAATCCATCAGGTAATATTTTATCTGTCTTAGGCTCCCACAGCAGAGATCAGTATTAAAAAATGACAGCAACTTATTATTTATAGCAATATCTATTGTTACTAAGGGAGACAGAGCAAACAATTCCCTATTGTTACAGATGCTACTTTGACTTGACAGCTGGGAAAGTCTGATAGGCAGTTTATTTACTTAGTCATTTAACCAGATAAATGTTTTCATTTTTCTTTCATCTCCTCAAAAGCTAACATTTCGCCCTTAAAATTGCTCCAGCAACACACCAGTGAAGTATAAATTACCTGCCATTCCCACACCAGCCATTATAATATTATTTTCCTTCTCTTTTTGCTCCTGTTATCCCCAGTCTTGCAAAGACAAGTGATTCTCTCAGATGGGAAGATAGAGGAAAAGGTGAAGTAACTGACAATATTTCTCTTCATTGCTAAAATAGAAATGCTGTTTGAGATTGGTCCTGAAGCTTCTATCTGCATGGATTTTATCTCTTTTTCCCTAATATGGTTCTATATGGTTTTAATTTTATCCACCTTTATCATCCTTACCTACTTCAATCCATGTGGGCATGTCTAATAAAAGCTGGAATGAATAGCTACAAAGGCAATACGAAAAAAGGAACTTTGCTTCCCAACTGCACCAAGACAGGAAAAACACAGCCAGTGATATAACTATTCCTCTGTAGTATCGTGCAAATGCCTAGGAAGGCACAAAGAAACTGTAGTTAAAAGTTTACCATTGAGTGGATGGGTGCATGAGGGGCAGCAGAAAGAGAAAAATGGGGCTTGTGCGGCTGTTGATAGAAGACTTGGGAAGGGCCTGCCTTTGTGAATGTCCTAGGGGATACATTTGCTCGGCTGGCAGCAGCTTTTGGTGAGATTCCTGATACAAAGTGGTAAAACTGCCTGGGTAAGTTTTTAGTGGTGCGGTGAGGGGGCGGTAATTTCATGGAATATTACTATCCATACTCCACTGGGGCTGAGAAGTGCTTATTATAGTTTACATATGAATCTGAGACTGATGACTTTTTTGATGCTATGTGAGGTCTATACTGGGTTGTTCTCATTAGGAAACAAGACAAGCCAAAGACGCTAAGAATTAAGATTTTTTTTCCCTCCACTTATTCCTCACAAAGCCTTTTTTTTTAAAAAAAAAATGCTACTAGTTTATTGAAAAATGATTACCTGAGGATAAGAAGTATAAAACAAAACTTCCCTGCCAATGACCGGGGGTCCTTATGGTAGGATTCATTAGGTTAAAGGACTAAAATTCAAGTCGGTAGGGAAGCACTTACTCAATGTGTGTCATGATGGCAATGGTGACGATTTTCATCATGCTGGTGGCTGAGGCAGTGGTGAGTATGGTAACAGCAGTTAACATCTAGTGAATTTACCACTATCTTCTGGGTGCTAGGCCCCATGCTAAGGAGTCTGCTTACCTCACTTTACTTAATCCTGTGAGGCAATTATGGATTTTATCTATGTTTTTCAAACAAAGAAAATAAATAGGGAATTACTGAAAAATCTTATTAGGGTCAGTCACCTAGCCATCACATGGTAGAGAAAGAATGTGAACTCAGGCAATCTTATTTTACAAGATTTTTAAGCTAAGTCTTGATTCAGTCTTCTTCTCCATGCTAAAAGCCTCAAAATACGTCATCCCAATTAACAATGTATAAGACCCATTTAGAAGACAGACAGGAAACCAAAACTCAGAGAAATTATGATTCCTGTTCAGTATTTCTTACTAATGAATAATGGATCCAGACTTTGAATTCAAGTGCTAAATCCTGAGCTGTACCCACTATCCTACCATCCAGCTGTGGTTTGGAACAGTGGATTGAGCATCAACTATAGAACAGGCTGAAGACCCAAAAACTTGTTCAATGTATATCACTGTTTCAAGCTAAGCCGGCTCATAAACATAAACATAAACAAAGTTGATACACTGCTCTGTAAATGGTGTAAGTCATCTTTGTTTTCTAGAAGAACTTCAATTTTTAGGATGATGCTTGCTGTTATCCTGATGAATGGCTCTTGTCACCTCTAGTTCATTCATCAAATCTTTCAAGGCAAGGTTGTGCATGAGAAGCACAACGTATGCTAGGGGCAGAGACTCTCAAGGGGAATCTTCCAAAAGAGCCTGCCCAGAATCCTTAACTTTTCCTTTTCCTGGAACATTGACTTTGCCTTTAATTCGTCTGCTCCCCAAATAGCTTTGCAAGACTGAATTTTCAAATGGGTTTTATGTGGTTTTGCATGGCATGATGTATTATTATATGCCATTGTACTGATATAGAATGTGGCAAAATATACAGTATGTTAAGTTCTTTAATCATAAAATCTATTAACAAAATGCACTTTCAAAAGAGCCTATTAGCTTTCAATAACCGTCAAAATAACTTATGCATGGCCTGAGAATGATTCTGAGGTAGCTTCAGAATCCCATTTTATGAACAGTGCAAACTATTTACCATTTTAATGGTTCTGACCCTGTTGTTTAGGACTGAGAAAAGAAGCTCTGTGGGTATGGCATTGCAGTCCTACACATTTATGGAAAGCTAGAAAAGTATTTGAAAATTGAACACATTTGTCAAGGAGTGACCTTAGAAATCATGTGTGGGTAACAAGGTGTACTTCTGTCTCCAGAGAGTGTTTGCTTCATCAGCTCCTCTTTCTTTCTATCAAATCAGATGTATTGAAGTTCAAGTGCCAAAAGGCACTTCTGGTAAATGTAAGTACACCTCTCACAAAGTAGCTGCTGATGGAATCTGAAGTGACTGTGGCAAGCCAGGTGCCCGTAGCACAGGTGCAAACAGCAAAGTCTCTGAAGTGAGTATGTCTTTGGGCTTTGAATTTCACTTTGACTTTTGAAAGGGGGAGGTGGGTGCACATCAGACAACTAGATAAAAAGGGCTCTATAATCCTACATCTGCATCAATCTTATTTCAAGCACTGTTTGCTTTCACTTTCCAGTCAGGCGTCTCAGTGTGTTTAACGGGTGACCTCTTTAGATCTGCTGAATGTAGGCAAATTCAGTGACATTTTGCTCATAGGATTAAAGCTTCCGGACCACATCTCACTGAGAAATTATCAGGGTGGACATTAATATGTGCATCACAGGATGTTGGTGTTTGCGATGCTAAACCCACATCAGGGAAGGACCATGCCTCATGCCACCCCTACCACCCACTCAGAACATGTCATTAATAAAACCTGGTGACCATTCCTTATTCCTCACCCCCATCCCTACCTCCCAATATATGTCAAAGGTCATGCATCCACAAGGAAAAACGAGATGGAAAACAAACACCAGGCAAGGAGCAATGGGGCAAACACTGGGAACACAGCTCAGGCAAGGGAAGATGGTGCAAACGTTGGGGACGTGGCTTGAGGTGTGAAGGTCAAGCACAAGTGAAAGCAGAGGGCTGAAGGGAGAAGGAAATAAAAGGGCAGATACCTACCCAGACCTGCGCTATCTAGCTACCGGCCTGTGGACTTATATTATCACCACTGGGCTCCCCACCGGGCTCACCAAATGGATCACTGTTGGACGAGGCCTGTGACCCATCAGGCTAGAACACAAGAAGATAACACTTTTTTTCCCCTTTCTTTTCAACAATTGAATACAGAAGACAGTTGGCATATTTTCATGCATCAAACAGCACTAATTATCTTAAAGGGGGGAGCATCTCTGGTTAGATGCTGCTGCACCCCTAAATACAAATATGGGGAATAACAACTTAATGGGGAAATAAAAGGACAATTCTTCAGCTGACTCATTTGAACTATGGAATTTAAGTTTCGGAGTCAGCACTCTTTGCTATGTAGGGCTCCTCATGGATTGTTAGCTCTAGATCTCAGAGTTTCGATTTGAAGGAAAAACAAAAGTTGAAATGACAAACGAGGCACTTACAGCTTCCTGCTCTTCGCTTTTGCTTGGACTTTCAAATCCCTCTTCGAAGATGTCATCTGTGGTGGGATCACTGGCGTGGGAAGCTGATGATTTGGATGGAGAGCTCTGTCTAGGGGCTGGGGTTGGAGCTACAAAGGGAACCCATGAAAAAGAAAAGAGAAGCATTTTAAGTGACTGGCTGCAATCATTTATACGCCTCCAAGACCTCAAGGAACTGAAATAGAATGAACTAGAACCCAATCAAATCATAGGCAAACAGTTAAACATGTGCCTATTTCTCTTGGTCTCTCATGGACTTGATCATACGGATGGATCATATGGAATGAATGATTACCAGGAGATGCTCTTCCAGTCAGCAGCATCAGCAGCATCTGGACACTTTTCAGAACTGTGCAGTTTTAGACTCCACGCTCGGATTGCTGAATTTAAAACTCTGTGTGTTGACAAGCCTTCCGGGTGATCCTCGAGCCAACCCAAAATTGAGCAGGTATGACTTTCTTTCTCTTCTCTTACATTACACAATTATTTTAATAAGAGAAAAAAGACTAGAGGACATTGATATCCACATACGAGTGCCTTCTAGGTTAGAGATGCTACAGACAGACAGATCCTGGTAATCCTCATGAAACACCAGAGGAGCCCTGGTGGCCTAGTGGTTAAGAAGCTGTGCTGCAATTCCAAAGGCACACGGTTTGAATCCAACAGCTGCTCCACTTAAAAAGGATGGACAATTTCTTCCCATGGGATTTACTGCTCTGAAAACCCATTAGAGGGTCAGCTACGGATTGGTTCTGCCTCAAAGGCAAACAACAATCCTCGTAACATTCTATCAGGTGGGGCTCAAGCCTTTTTTACTAAAGCAAAGGTTAGAAGCTAAGTTGCACAAATAGCTAGCAACCGATAGGAACATAGTAGATGTTCAAGAAACACATGTTGAATGCAGAGTAGGTGTCTGAAGTCTGTTTCCAGTGAGCTATGGGTTTTGGGGTGTATCAGTTATCTGTGAAGATGGAAGCCAGTGATGCAACTTCATTCTTCACAGTAGGTGGTTATGGCTTTGCATCACTGACCTTCCCGTATTCCCCTCAACTCATTTGTTCCAGAGACTTTACAACTATGTCTTTGGAAACTAGTATTCTCTCAATAATTTCAAATTTGGCATTGAAAAGAACCAGTCATTGGCTGAGCCCCAAGTGAGAGGCCTGCACAGCCTGATTTACTAGCTGGATATTAAATGATAGGGCCTCTCTACATCTCAGAATTTAGACAATCTGACAGCTTATCAGAGAGTGAATGATTATAGAACTTGAGGACCTGACATTCTGGTACTCCATTTACAATAATGGCACTATTTACTGTGTGCCAATGATGAGAGTAGGACATTATGCGAAATCTCATATTCATTATGTTCTACAACAATACAACACAGTATTGTGTGTGTGTGTGTGTGTGTGTATTTTCCTTTCAAATTAAAACACTGCAGTGATGTGAGGTGACGTGCTAGCCATGAGATTTAACCCGAGGCCTGTCTGACACTTCCAAGTACAACTGTACTTTTTATTTGACACTCATTTTGGGTTCAATCAACTTCTCAAAATATTCTGAAAGGCATAATAATGGATAAAATAAATATTGAAACAAAATAATAAAATCAGTCACCACTGAGTCTCATAGAATCTCCCTGTATGCAGAATTGAATTCTCTGTAGTTTTCAAGGCTGTAACCTTCCAGAAACAAACTGCCAGGCCCTTCTTCTGTGGCATCTCTGTGTAGATGTGACCCACCAAACTTTCGTTCAGCAGCTCAGCACTTAAAGAGTTTGCACCACTCAGGGACATTGCTAACAATGGATAAGGGATGACTTCATGTATTTTTCTCTAAAGTAAAATATATTCATGTTTCTTTTTTAAAATCTTTGTTGGCTTTTTTATTGTGATTTTAACAAAAGTTTACAGAAAAAAATGGATTTGAAAATAAGTTTTCCCCCCATAAGATGATTATAAAACAACTCAATTATAATAAATTAAATGAGACAAACTAGCTAAAAACACCCTGACTTTTGGTTGGTACCTAATAAATGTTTACTTAGTTGGATTTTTTTAGTTGTATCTAAAGCAGCTGGCTGGTTACTAAGGGCTGAGAAAGAACTCAAGCTGAGGGGCCAGTTCTGAAAGCTATACTTTTCATCCTTATGTGGTGATTTCAATGGGAAGTATAGAGAGTGAGTATACTATCGAGTGTCTTCACCTTCAGTACACTGTATTGTATACTTCTATACTATAAAACAGCAGATCTCAATCTAGGCGGATTTCACCCCAGGAGACATTTGGTAAGATCTGGATGCTATTTTGGTGCCACAGTTCGTTCTCTCTCTCTCTCCGTGTGTGTGTGTGTGTGTGTGTGTGTGTGTGTGTGTGTAAGAGAGAGAGAGAGAGATATCTAATGATTGCAGGTTAAGTATTGCTGCTAATCACTGTATAATAAATAGGACATACCGTCTAAAGGGAAAGAAAACATCAATAACATGAACAAACATTAATAGTGCCAAAGTAATGCAATCCTGATTTAAAGCCTGTCAGTCACTGAACAGTCTTTGCTTAGTGCATTCCACACTCTATACCCTGCCCAGCTGCCTGTATGGGCTAAACCTTCTGCAAGCATTTTGAGAGGTATAGGAAAGAACCCTAGTGGCAGAATAGGTTACGTGTCGGAGTGCTAACATAAAGGTTGGCAGGTTGCAACCACCAGCCACTCTTCAGGAAAAAAGGTAGGACAATCTATTCTTGTCAATACTTAGAGCCTCTAAAACATGATGGAGGGTTGTCAAGAATTTGAATCACCTTGGCAATGGGTGGGCATGACACATTCCCTGTCCTCAAAGGGCTTACACTTCCTTCTTTTATTTATAGCTGGCACACGGTGCACTGGATGATAGATGTTAATTTTTAAAAGATGACTGCTTGATTATGTTTGACTGTCATTTCCTTAGTAATTCTTTTTTTTTTTAATTCATTATTCTCCACTGAAACTCTATGAGTCAGAGTTAATAGAGATGCCTTGCTATGTGGTTCATATGGCCTGAGTGGAAAGAGGTTGTTTTATATATATAAGAACATTGAAAACCTGGCTGAAATGACACAGTCTAATTGTGTTAATTAGCTTTCCTGACAATTCACAGTGTTGACCATGCAGTGACCCACGTCCTCCATGACGGTAATGAAAAGGCCACGTTCACTGTATCATGGGAGTTTTCTCTTCCATTATCAACTGCGGAGGCACGGACTAATCCATCAGAAAACCTATCCCGATCGTGCTGATCAAACATGCACACTCTCCAAGGTCTACAGATTTTAATTTGGTTGTCGTGTTACTGGCTTCCTAGACCTTTTGGAGCAGAAATATAATTTCATGTAGAATCACTGACTGTTAGAATTAGAAGGAGACTCACTGCTTATTTAAGTCAACTGGTTCCTTTAATGATGACACAGGTGGGCCTCAGAGAAGTCACATGCCTGCTCCAGGGCACAGCTGGGTTGGATGAGCCAAGAGGAGAATCTTGGCCTAGGACTCCACACACACAAAACTACTGGAAACATGATGATAATTAACACTTGAGACTCTGTAAGATACACAATGTTTTAGAACTTATGTTACTGGTTAGAATAACTCTTGACTTTAGACATAAAGCCAGTTGTTGTTAAGTCTATTACAACGTAGGGCACTCCATGTACAGAGAATTGCACCCTATGGGGTTCTCACTGGCTGGGATTCTGATCATAAGACCTTTCTTCTACGCCACCTCTGGGTAGATTTTTTAAAAAAATAAAAATAAATAGCTGAAAACATTAATTCTTTATACTACCCAGGGTGGTAGCTTTAGATATAGCTTCTTCTTGTTGTTGTTGTGACTGTAGAGTCAGATCCAACCAATAGCTGACCCTCCAGCGGGCTTTCAGAGGCAGTTAACTGCATGAAAGGAGACTGCCCATCCTTCTCCCACAGAGCAGCTGGGGCCTCGAACTGTGTGCCTTTGAGATTT